ACATTTTTGTTCCTGGTTTGGATTGTGCCATCTTTTTAAAACAATTTCACTGAATTACTTAGAAAAGAATTATTTAGAAAGGTGATTGCCTGCCTCTCCTGCCTCATGTCACAGGAAGAGTCTGCAGCAATCCGGCTACAAATTCTTGCTCAGCCACATTTCTGTCCAGCTACAGGTGGTCCTCGACTTACAACCACAAATTTCTGTTGCTAAGTGACATATTTGTTAAGTGAGTTTTGCCCCATTTTACAAACTTTCTTGCCACAGTTATTAAGTGAATCACTGCAGTTGTTAAGTTAGTTGTTAAGACCGTTGTAAAGCGAATCTGGCTCCCCCATTGACTTTGCTGTCAGAAGGTCGCAAAAGGAGACCACATGACACCAGGACACTGCAATTGTCATAAGCATGAATCAGTTGCCAAGCATCTGAATTTTCATCACGTGACCACGGGGATGCTGCAATGGTCGTGTGAAAAACGGTCATAAGTCATTTTTTTAATGCCATTGTAACTTCTAACAATCACTAAATGAAATTGTTGTAAGTCAAGGATTGCTTGCATTTGCTTCCTGATCTACAATTGTGAGCACTGGTGGGATTTGCCCAGCACCTCAATGGAAAGTGACAATCATTTATTTCACTTTGAGATTACTTCTTTACAGGAGCAGAGCTAAAATGCATTTCATGGCTAGTAAATATAACAACTTGCAATTAGCAAAAGAAATATCTGGTGCTGAAGTACAGAATAAAAAACATTTTCTTGACAGCAATCTATGAGAAAAGAAATTGGTTGATTTTAATAGACTTATTTCTGCAAGTAGCAGCACCTTGCTAGCTTTGGTCATTAAGCAAGTATTCCAGAAAAATATTATATATTTTGAGAGGATACCCCCCATGTGCAACAAGACATTTGAGAGCAGGTACTGATGCAATGCATATGGCTCCTTAGGTTTTAAGAAAAAAATGTTGTTTTTTTCTGTGCAAGCCTGGGAAAAGATCTAAAGGGAACACCACCATGCATGCCCAGTCCTACAACAAAGCATCAGAGCCAAAGTGGTGCAGTGGTTAGAATGCAGATCCTGACCAGCTCAAGGTTGACTCATCCATCCGAGGTCATTAAATAAGGACCCAGATTGTTGGGGACAAAAGGCTGACTCTGTAAAAAGCTTAGAGAGGGGCTGTAAAGCACTATGGAGCGTATATAAGTATATAAGTCTAAGTGCTATTGCTATTGCTATCTTTTTAATTTTAAACTACTCACCACCTAGAAGGTACATGATATGTTTTGGTGTGCTGGGAGCACCTGTTTAAAATTTAGTTCTCAAATTGAGAAGGTCTGTCCTCAAGGTTGTCGTGGGTACATATGAAAGCAGAAATCTGTAGCTTGAGAATAGCTGCATGTTATGCTTCAGGGAATGTTGATACTGAAATAAATAGGAATCACTTTTGAGAAAAACTGCAACATTCTGAATAATTGTGATCTAGAGGAAAGTGTTAAGTGATATGAATGCATTTGGGGAATAATGCAAGAAAGTAAAGAGAATATATAAGTAGGTCACTGAAAGACCCAAGAATGAATGAGTGGTGTTTGGTGAGTATCTACTAAAAAAAGTATCTTCTGAGTACTGTGATGGTATTGGAAAAAACCTTGGGAGACAGGTACAGCTAAGGGAATGGTCATGTGAGAAGCAGATGAGCTTGCAGCAGGAATGTGGCCCGGCCAAGGGGCTCAGAAGAGATCCTCCCTTTGGGGGCTGTAAAGAGGATGGGGTAGAGAAATACTTTCAAATTGGTAAGAGTCTGTTAATGTAGTTCAATAATAAAGTAGAGTTAGTTTTCTGACTTGGTCAGAAAGAGTGCTAATAAGGATCAAAATGTAAAACAAATATATGAAGAAAGAGGAAATGTGTTCAGAGAAAAAGGAAGATCATGATTACATGTGAGGAACATGATGCTGAAAAAGGGAGAGATGAGATATTTAAAGAATGTAGGGAGTGGTCTATGGAAAGGGGTGGAAACAATGATAGTGAAGAAAAAGAGTGAATGGTGTTGGCATAAACTAGGTTTAAGTTTCCATTTCTTCCATCTCCTGCCTTTATTTTATTTTATTTGTCCATTATATCTTACTCTTTTTCTAAGATTTGCATAAAGTTGCTTCCCCAAAAGGGACTAATGTAATGAATATGGAAGAACTGATATATTTTTAGACATAAAATATCATGTTACATGTTATGTCCGGAGAATAATGGCGCTTGAAACGAAGCATTTCTAACAAGTCTTTATTCTCTGCTTCCAATCTACGAACAACCCGAGCAGAGGCACGCAGGCCTCTATTTATACCTTCTGATCCCCGGGCAACTTCAACCAATCACGAGGCGGTCTTTTCCCGCCTTGCGCATGTGCGCAAGGCCGGCGCCACTCAGTCTGGTCCCGGGCAGCTTTTGCAAATGCCCGGGACTCTTGCAACATCCCGAGCCTGCTTTTGCAGGCTCCGGACACAACACCCCTCCCCCCTAGATGAAATAATACGGCGCCCACATGGACGCCATCATAGTGATGGTTATATAGTTAACTGATGAGTTAAGTTACACAGTGTATGTAAGATGTGGAACTGTTCCGTCATACAGAGACCCAGTAGCCCCAACATCGTTTACGTAGAGTCAACCAGTCAGAACCTCTAGTTCAGTTATTTCAATGAACATGCTCACCTTACGTAATCTGCAAGGTATTTGGGAGGGCCTTTGACCCTGAGCGACCTTCTCGGACCTGGGGAACTTGTGGTGTTTTCCCCATTGCTTCCCACACTAGGTGCATTGCCCTGTGGTTGTCTTGTGACTTCTGTTTGACTTTCCTGCCCGTCTCCTAGGCTTGAGAAGTCAGAACTCTGTTGATCGCTATACCTGGTTGACCTACCCCCTATGGAGTTTTCCAACCCCTCTGAACTCATCTCCGTGTTTCCTGATGGAGTGTGGTTTTCCTGGCTCCTTCCTGTAGTGTTAGGGTCTAGGGATGCCTCCCTGTTAGCCCTTATACGTGGGGACATCCTTCTATGAGCCATTTCAGCAAAGGACGTGTTTCCCCTCTGTTTTGCCTGCTCTCTTGCGTGTTGTGAGTTGTGAGTATGCTCCCAGTTATTCTCCGTGTCTGGAGTATTGTTTGTGAGGTGTGGATAGTTAGTATACCTCCGGTGGGACTCCCAGGCTGGAGTGTGTGTGGGGGTGTCAGTGTGCCCCCGTCCCCATGTATTGCTACCTGAATCTCCTGTGGAACTTGGGTGTTGAGAGCCCGTGTCGTTCCCCACAACTGTTGTTGGCAGCAGATTTTGATTCTCAGAATGCATTCCCCCTTCCTCCTCCCCCCCTAGAGGAGACTGAGGGGGAACCCCAGGTGAGTCCCGCCTCACACGTAATTGATCAATGTGGCGGCGAAGAACACGGCCGTCTTCCAGGGACACCTCATAGGACAGAGGCCCCGAGACCTTACAGACCACAGCCGGGACCCAGAGGTGTCCAGGCCCGTAGTTCCTGGCCCAGACAGGATCGCCTTCACGCAGGACCCGTGGTGGGTGTGGCTGAGACACCTGTGAAGCTACACGCTCCGGATGCAGCCTGTCCAATTTAGTCATGAGCTGACGACCCCAACGGAGTTCAGCCGGGCACTTACCCATGGCAGTGCACGGAGTAGTACGATGGGCTAGAAGAAAATCAGCCAACCTGTGATGCCAATTGCCATAAGTCAGCTTCTTGAGGGCGTCCTTGGCGACGCGAACCATCCGTTCAGCCAGACCGTTGGTGGAAGGATGGAAGGGAGCCGAAGCAGCGTGGTGGATCATGTTGGCCTGTAGAAATCCCTGAAACTCAGTAGAAGTAAATTGAGGACCGTTATCTGACACCAGAACATCTGGCAACCCGTGTGCGGCAAAAATGTTTCTCAACACTTGAATGGTTTTGGCAGCTGTGGTAGAAGACACAGGCACGACCTCCAGCCATTTGGAATGGCTATCAACAACAACCAGGAAGAATTGTCCCTGAAAGGGCCCAGCATAATCTACATGTATTCTAGACCATGGAGTGTGTGTCTCCTCCCACCTGTGTACAGGGGCCTGGGGCATTTCCGTCCTGGACTGCTGGCATGTATGACACCCATGTACCTGGGCCTCGATGGCCCGATCAATGCCAGGCCACCACAGATGGCTGCGTGCAAGCGCCTTCATCCTG